AAGCCCCCCCGCCCCAGGTCCCACAAACCAGGACAGAGCCCTGCTGTCCTCCCCTAACCCTGCGGACCCCCCACTCCTCAGCCACGGCCCCGCGAGGCTCACCTCCGACAAATGGCGTACATGCGGTTCACGGTGGAGATGCGGAAGGGCTCGTTCTTGGAGCGGGTGAGGTTGGAGCGGGTGAGGCTTCTGCTGAGGGTGCCCAGCCCCATCCGTTGGTAGTCACGGCAGCAGGCTCGTTCCACCAGGTGGTTGATGGTCATCTTGTCCGAAGGTCTGATGGTGGTGGTGGGGGTCAAAGTGCTTCTGTCCATCTCTTCAGACACTGAGGAGACAAAGGGGGAGTCTGGTCTGCCCTCAGCATGGACACAGTGTCCCACCTGCAGCTGGAGGAGATGGCCGGGCCGGAGGCATCTCCCAAGCCAGCAGAGACAGGACAGGGCAGGAGCTCCCTCCCACTACCTTCACCTGAAACGGGAGCACTCAGTCGCCCCGTCCAAAAGATTGGGCGCCCGGCTTTGGGGCAAGAGCCTTCACTTGTCAGGTTAAAAGCACAAAGAAAAGTCAGCTGCCTGGGTACTGACGTTAAAACAGATTTCTTTAGTGCTTTCACATCACTTGATACCACTGAGAGATGAGGAACAGTCCAACACGGATCTGCCCAGAGCTGCTCCATCACACTGGCCTCATCTCCTTCCCCAGAGGAGAGCAACCTCCTGGGAGAGGGGGGCAACACGGGCGAGACCTCGGCTCTAGTGAGGCTTTCAGCCCAGGACACTTCCATCCAGGCAAAATCCCTGTCAGGTGGACACAACCCGTGGTGGCTTCCCTCCGCAAGCGGCTTTCCCAGTGCTCCTAACACACTTCCTAACGCCAGAACTGGAGGACAAGAAGAGATCTCAAAGGTATCTCTGCATCTTTCTTCTGGGCCTGAATGCAGCTGGTGTTTTTGTTCATCACTTAAATGATGGACACAGCGGAGGCTTGTGACGTTTGTGGGAGACCTTGAGCTGAAAGCGCTGCAGACAAACTGGGGAGTGAAGAAAAGGAGCAGAATCCAAAGTATCTCGATGAACAGAAGGGAAGATCCAAGCTCAGCCATGTCCAGTCTGCTGGACCAGCCCCACACGCGGCAGGAGGGACGGGTCCCCGCAGACACCGCTCCCCACTGAAACCCTAAATCCCACCCAGCACGTCTTCCCTGAGCGGCCTTCCCACCTGGGAAGGTTGTAATCTTCAACACAGAGGACTCCCGTCCCTTCCAGCCCTTTGCTACTCTCAAACCAGCCAAGCTGTTCTCATGTCCAACCTAACCTGCCTTGCTGCAGCTTCAATCTCTGACTTTTCATCTGAGGAGCCAAGGCCACAGACCACAGAACTCCCTCCCCTCCGCAGGGCTCGCTAGCTACTGGAAGTGCGCCGAGATGCTGACAGGCCACCACCAGCAGACGGGAGCTGGTGGGCCATCGAGAACTGGGAGAAATGACCACGGTGGCAATCCTCTGCGCCAGGGAAGCTCCCACACCCGCTCCCCGGCAGAGACGGCTGAGACCTCTCCCAGCTGGAAGATGCTCCTGCTCCAACAAACGCCCCGCTCCCCACAGCCTCCCTTCCCTGCTCAGGGTGCTGCTCCCAACCTGAGATCTCATCCTCGTTGTCCTCTGGGAACTGCTGGCTGCTCCGCTGCTCCCAGGCGGGCGGCGTGTATTTCTTTCGCGTCACGTACTGGCGGCCGATTGTTTTCTTGGCATTTTTCACCAGGTTTTTGGAGAGTGTCCTGGAACCAGAGAAGAGGTTGAGACCAGCTGACACCACCTCCCACACGGGCAGGACCACAGCCCAGCGCGGCCAGAAGAGCAGCCCCGAAGGGTTAGAGACACCGACACTCAAGTCACACCGAGAGCAAAGCAGAGACAGGAGCATCCCTCACCGCCGGCTACAGGCACGGGGTCAAGGTCACTGTCACCACAGGAGGGGAGATGTCACCTGCTAGCTCCCTGGCAGGGAGAGCTGGATTCTTCGCTGTCAGAGGGCACCAAGCCAGAGGCAGAGCCTCCAGCACTTGCCTTTCCCGGGGGGACCTGGGTGCCCAGGGAGGCCGGACGGGGCAGCACGGCTGAGAGGCCACCCCAGCCCCCCAACCCGAGGGGAAGCCAGCCTTGTCCCGGGCTCTAACGCCATCACCTCTGTGTGGGACCTCCTGCAGGCAGTGACCTGGCTCATCCCCAGGGGAGGTGGGCTCCAGCTCACGGCAGGGGCCAGGGGACCCATGGCAGGGACACTGCCGGCCCAGCCTGGATGCATGGCAGCTCCTCCCGGGGCAGAGGGGGGTGACCCACTCGGTGCCACCTAAGGGACATGGAGAGCTCAGCTGGGCTCGGCCACTGCCGAGGGCAGCCCGGGGAAAGCAGAGAAGAGAGACCTTCCAAAACCCACGGGTGATTAGGCTGCACGGTCAGAACGGTCTCCGTATGACGGAGCTCCAGAAAGCAGGAATTCCTGAAGGCAGGAATGGCTTGCCCACATGCAGGACCTCATACTCATCACCGTCTCGGTGAGCCCTGGGGCTCAAAGGGGAACGAATGAAGGAGATGTGGGATATACCTCAGCCAGGGAAGGGGCCACGTCCAACTGCGGGTAACAGCTACGCTGATGCACAGCCTTCTAGAAATTCACCTTAGCGAGACGGGGGCCAAAGTGACAGACTCAGAGGTGCCTTGTTTTGCTTTGCAAAGCGGACGGTGAGGGAATCCAACCGCTCCCTACGTTTACCAAGGGAGGGAAAGCCTCAGGGCCGAGGGAGAACGCTGTCCTGAGAACCACTGCTCAGGTACGGAGGCTGGCAACGGGAGGGCTTTCTAACCGGGGGAACAGGATTTGTAGATAGTGGGGGGCACTGGAAGTAGACTTGGAGAGGGGGTGACAGAGCACATCTCGCAAGTTCAGACAGACTTCTGAGACCTTGCCCAGGCCCGGAGCTGGGCCCAGCAGCTCTAGAGGTCTCTGGAGGTTAGTGGTACAGACACAGCTCCCTCAGCACGTCCTGGGATTCACCAGAGTGCCACGGAGCACCAGGATGACCGACCGACCACTGCCGGAGGCCGCGGTGCTGCCATGGTGAGAGCGCGCACCCTGAACCTGAAGGTCAGACCGGCAGCCTGGAAAAGGGCATCCCCCGAGTGACAAGCCCACAGCCCAGGTCGCATGCAGAGCGGGTGAGAAGAAACCCTGGGAGCAGTGAAGGCTGCAGCCTGAGCCAATGCCACCTCGCAAGCTCCCGCCCAGGGTGAAGGCATCTTACGTGGTTGAATGGCCAAGGTGCCCAAGGGACATGACCCCCACTGTCAGGCCCTGGAACATATCGGTCACCTGCTGGGAGCTGAGTCACAAACACACGGGAGAGACGCTTAGACTCCAGGGCACACCAAGCCAGAACACAGCAGCAACCAGACCCCAGCGCTACAGCATCGCTTAACCTCGCCACCGAGCGCAGGAGCAGGGTCTGCCCGCAGGTCAGCACCGCGCGCAGAGCTTTGCCGCTGCCCGTCCTCCGGCACAGCAGAGACTGCTCTCTCCTGCCCACCGGAACCGCTCCCGTGAGATGCCTCCTTGGGGTTTGTACTGGTTTGGCCTGGGAAATGGGGCAGGGAATGCCACTGGAGCAAACACCCTGCTTCCCAAGTGTGACTGGTCCCAGGAGACCGCTCCCCGAGTTCGACCGTGGGGCTGGGGGACGGTTGCCGGCCGTGCAGCATGGCCCCCCCGCCCCAGACAAGTGGAAATCCTGTGCAAAGGGAGGTCTGAGCGAGGCAGGCTCAGGGACCCTGACCTCCAGCTCAGGAATCTGTGCCCCAGCTTTTCTGGAGTGACCCCCGCTCAGCGGCTCTCTGCCGGGTGGGCTGGAGGAGGGAGAGGAGAAGCCCTGCGGTGCCTGAAAGGGTCAAGCGCATCCCACATGCTCCTCTCCCCAGGGCACGGGTACCTGAGCGAGGGGTTCTTCTCCTTGGCCTTGGGCTGCATGGCTTGTTTGGGCGACTGGCCCACGGTGAAGGCGAAGGTGCCACGCACGTGCTGGGGGTAGCGCAGCTTGTGCAGGTGCTTCCTGAAGATCTCGGCGCTGTCTGAAGCCACCTCCTCATCGAAGGCAATCTTTAGCAACTGCAGGAATGGCAGAAAGCAGGCGGAAGGGTTGGTCACGGTGTGCTCAGCACGGCTGGGCCAGGGGGCCGGGAAGGGCTCTTCTCACCGGCTCTTCCCACAGCACAGCGCAGAGCTCAGACCCCGGTTGGGAGCAGGGACTGCAGTGGGCACAGGTCATGCTGGGAGGCTGCCCTGTCTGTCCCTCCGTGCCAGTTACCCGGTCCCACACTCCTTCCTCCTGGAGATCGCTCTGTACCCAGCACTGCTGCTCCTGTGAGGTCCCCGGTGCCCAGTCCCTGCGGCTCTGAGCACGCAAGATGGGCAGGAAGGAGCAGACGGTGCATTTTGGTGCTCTCCTTCCAGCATTGCTCTCCCTCCACAAGTCTCTCAGAGATGTAAAACGCTGAATAATTACTCATGCTGTGACATCTCTCCCTGCTGTATTTCTCTCCCCCAAGACCTGCTACATGGCCACGTACTCGCTGGTTCTCACCAGCAACGCGCTCCTCAGCTGAGACGGTGCAATGCAAAGGAGCAGCCCGCAGCCCCGCGCCGTCTCACCTGGAATGTGCACGAGCGCAGCTGCAAGCCCTCCTGGATGAACTGATCCACCTGGGCCTGGATATTGATCTTCTTCTCTTTGGTCAGCGAGGCGATGGGGAAGGACCGGATCACCACCTGCTCCCCCACTGGGCAGAAGCATGGGAACAGCTTAGCCACATCCCGCTGCCTCAGTCCGGTACAAGGCCCAGCCGTGCTGGACCACCCTCGGTGGCCGTCACCACCCCGTAGGATAAAGCAGCCAGAAACAGGCTGGACATGCTACAGCAGGCCCATGGCAATGTGTAGATGATGCCTAGGATGGGCACGAGTAATTTATCATCTACCAAAGGTGGGGAGCAAGAGCTACCACCTCCTTTGTAGTACTGGGTACAACCATCAAGCTTGTGGTGGTTGCAGCAGCCCCCAGCCCGGCCCAGCGCTGGCTGTCACCTACCCAAGGCCACCACCCCAGTCCCTTATCAGCCCTTACCTGCAGCCTCTGCTCCAGGCAAGCTACCAGCCACCCCCTCCCCAGGCATTACCAACCCCTGAAAACAGGGGATGTGATGCACGCAAGACCCTTACCCAGCGGGTCCGTGGGAGTGCCTTTGAAGATGATGCGGTAAGTGGTGAGGAAGATGGCTCCTTCTGCGGGGAGGAGAGGTGGACCACCAATATTCCCTCCAGCAGCTTCTTCCCGTCCATCAGGCATGAGGTACACACGGAGCCCTTCCATCACACACTCCTCACCGACCAACAGGTTGGGGCGCAGCAGCTTTGGCTACGGGGATGTACAATGGGAAGTTCAGGCCCAGGCAGACTGTGGGAGGGGACCTGATAGCCCCACACAGCTCCAGAACCTTCCCCCCGCTGCAGCAGGCCAGGTCCATACCTTCTGGATGGGAGGAAGCCTCTTGCTCTCCCTGTGCACGGCATCCAGTGTCTCTATGTGCATCTGCACAATATCTGGGGACAAACACGACGTTAGAGACTGTGAGCAATGTCCTCACGCACCACCCAGGCAGGCTGCCCACCCACCCTGCAGCACTGCGTGGGCCTTCTCTCAGCCTTCCCACTGCTTCTTGCAGAACCATCTCTTGAGTAGACCCCTGAGCTGATGTGGAAGGTTCCCCAGTGAGATCACACAGCTGCCCGTTCCCCAGCACTGCTGCAACGCTTATTACCAGGGATCATGACATGCAGCCCCTTCAGGTGCTCGTTGGTGACTCCACTCTCCGTGCAGACTTTGTCAACAAAGCGGTTGATGAATCGCACCACGTAGTTGGCCACATCGGAACTCTCTGCATCCTCAAATCCACTTTCTGTGTCATAGCTCTCAGCCACGCTGCCAGCGATGCTGTCGTACAGGAGTAGGAAGAGTTAACCCAGAACGCCTCTCCTCTGCTGCGACCCATGCCAGGCAGAGCCCAGGGGAGTTTCCACTCCTGATATGCACGCAGGAGAGCTTCCACTCTTGACATGAAACACCCCTGGGCACTGCAATCTGCATCAATCCCGACGGCAGCCGAATGATCCAGATGCCTCAGGTACCACACCAAGGAGCTCCCGTTCCCATCTCAGGCTGCTCCGGTGTCCCTGCTGCCTGGCCCCACCAACCTTCCCAGCCCCGTTTACCTGTTGGTGACGAAGCTGTTGCTGACACTCTCCACGTCTCCCAGCCCAGAGCTGCGGAGCAGGCGGTTCTTGCTGGTGTCGAGGGGCAGCAGCAGGTAGCTCATGCGGTTGGCGTAGTGGATGGCCTGGCTGAAAACAGTGCTCTCCTCCTTCTGGATCAGCTCCTGCTGTTTCTCTCGGCTCATGGTGGGCCAGAGCCTCAGCTGCTCTGATGCTATCTCCAGGGCAGACTTGGCTTCCTGTGGCTCCTCCGTGCTCTCCTGAAGGGGTTGGAAGGAGATGAGATGTCAGTCATCTGCATGGACAGGAGACCTGCCAGCCTTCACCCCGCTGTTCCCAGGGGAATCTCCCAGAACCAGGATGGTCCCTCAGGCTGGTTCAGTACCCTTATCAGCCCGTGGACCTTTGGGGAGAGCTGCTTCTGCACAGCGGCTCTCCAGGGACACTGGCACCGTTGTCACCTCCTCACCTCATCTGTGTGGTTCTCCTCGTTGTTGTCCAGGTACAAGGCTCGGATGTGGTTCTGCACATCGCAGTAGAACATGGCCTCCCAGAATTGGATGTTGGTCCACACCACGTGCTCCTGCACACAGCTGTAGGCAAACTGCGTGATGCCGGGGCTCAGTTTCTGCAGAAGAAGGTGGAAGAGGGTTTCATACAAACGTGGCCTTTGTGCCAAGCTCTCCTTGCCAGGCAATCCTTGCTCTACCCTGTTGCTGGGAAAGCAGGAGGGACGTGCACCAGAGCTCCTCCAAGCATTCCTTGCAAACTCTTCTCAGATTTGTCCAGCACCCACCCAGAGCCCCGCAGGGCCTCATGCTACGGATGTTTTGTGGGAGGTAGAGTCTTATCTCAGCCCAGCTTGACCGACAGATCAAGCTGGCCCTTCAGAGCAGCCCCAGTTTCTGAGCACCCTTCCCGCAGGTGTTCCAGCCACCTTGGGAGCCTTGGGCCCAGAGACCGGCGCAGCCAGCCCGGCCAGCCTCGCCAGTGGCTGGAAGCTACTGGGCAGGACCCCATCCTCTGAGAAGTGCCGAGGGGAGAACCTGCCCTCGGCCTGGGCACAGCGCCGGCTCTCAGTCCTTCAGCCCGCCAGCCTCTGCAGCCTCCAAGGACTTCTGAGCCCGCGAGGGCGGTACAGGGGGTCAGGATACTGCAGATACTCACTCGGCAGAAAGCGGTGACCAGTGGCAAGAGAGCGGCTGCAATCCCATGCTCGTCCATGGCAGTGCAGTCCTGGGAAAGAGAGCGGAGGTTACAAGAGGATTCACTGCAAGACCCCCAGACCCACTCCGATCCCTGCACCATGCTGTCTCCCACACGGGCAGACAAGCCCCCTCCTACGAGACAGACTCTCCCCAGCCCTCTCCTACCTGCAAACAGCAGTTCATCATGCGGATTATGAAATCAAACTGCTGGTGATCCAGCACTGCCCGGTTTTGCTGCACGTGCAGGTTCAGCTCCTGGGTCAGGCAGTGCCTGGCTGCTCGGCCCTTCATGGCACGCAGCACGGCAGGGAATAACTGCAGAGGAAAGAAGTAGTTGTGGAGTAGAAAGACGGTGCCAAGCAGAGCTCTGGTCAGGCAGTGAGAGTCCAAGGGCAGCCCACAACCAGGAGGTGCAGGAGGGGCTCCACATTCTGGCTGCGCTGGCTGACACCAGGGCGTTTACACTCAGCTCATCTGCGCTCCGACGTGGAGGCAAACCAGAGCAAAACCCCACGTCTCGCCAGCTGGAGCACAGCCCCGGAGCTCCCTGCTCAGCAAGGCCGGGAGGACCCCAGCCCCGTTATCTCCACAGGACAGACCCCCGGGAGATGCAGCAATAGTGCTAAGCTGGCGCAGCGGAGTGAATAGCCAAAAGCCCAGGGACACAACAAGGGGGAACAGCACTGGGAGGGGAACACGTGAACGTACGGGAACAGAGCTGGTCAGCAGAGACCTGGACACAGCAGGGAACGTCCCCTCCAGCCTGGCACGGAGGAGAGGCAGAGCAAACCCCCCTCCTCCCCTCAACCACCAGTTCCTCCGGAGCCCCCCTCACCTTTTTGGCTTCTAACATCTTGTTCTCAAAGACGTAGGAGATGCAGTTCCTGACCACCTCCAGGCGACGGGCACTGTTGGCCAGGGCGTTGCCGTTGCGCTCCATGATGGCGGCTGGGGAGAGAATCGCCTGTTAGTTCAACCAGGGCAGGACTTTCATCCCTGGGTGGGAAGAGATGGGTGCCCCCTCCCCGGCTCCACGTGGGCAGGGGTCAAGGCTCCAAGGGCCCCTGCTGGAAGAGTACTACGGGGTCTTCAGCCGTCCCCTCGTGCTGGCTGACAGACTCCAGGGAGCTCTAAGCAGCCCAAGGGGCAGAACCAAACGGGGAGAGGGCTGCTGCTTCTCCAGGGCACGTTTTGCTCACATAGGACCCTCAGACATGCCGTAGCATGAAAAGGAGCCAGCGACACCATGGTAAAGCTCCTCCTGAGCAGGGTTTCTCACCGCAGGGAAAGGCGCTCTGTGCACACGTACCAATGGGGGGTCCCGATGGCACCATGCATTTCTTCTCCGCCTTCACAGCAGGAGGGGCCGTCTGCAGCTTGGCAGTGGCCTGGTCGATGATCCACTGCACTGTCCCCTCATCCAAACGGGGAAAAGGCTTCTGGTGGAGGCGTAGGTGACAGCCTTCCGTGGGCTTCTGCACCTTGTGCATGGTCACCGCTGGGTACGGGTTCTCCTAGCACAGTAAAGACAGTTTCTTTTCAGGCATGCGGACATCACACGTCCTCAAACAGGGCAGGAGATCCAGTGAGGCATCTTTCCACAACCTCTACTGCTCTCAGGCCGAACACTCTCCCAGCCAGTATCTACAACCCCAGAAACCCGCAGGCCTGAGGGCAGGCCGTCTGGGCAGCAGGGCTGGCACGCTCTGCTCCCAGGAGCCGCAAGGAGAGCTCGCTTCGGCCCTGAACACAGCAGCGAGCAAAGCACCATTCAGGAGCTCCGTCCTGAGATGGCCAAGGGCCCCACAGCCGCTGCTCTGTTTTCAGAAGACCTTTGCTGGCCTGCCCTGGATCAGACGACGAGCACAGCGGCTGCTCCGCAGCAAAGGCATGGAGTGCCTGATGCCCAGGCCCCCTGAATCCGAGGAATCACACCCCCGGGGGTGGCTCATGCCAGGCTGGACACTTCTGGGCCCGTCAGCAAGTGCCCTGCCACACGTGACAGTGCAGGATGGGACGGGATCATGCACCGTGAGTATCAGTTCCAGCAAAAGCTTACGGAGGGAGGACAGACTGACGGGGGCTCTGACCCAGGCTCTCCCTGTCCAGTTCCTGCCTCCGAGCAGCTCCTCTCTCCTGACTCACGTTTTTGTAAAGTTTCTCCGCCAGCTCCTTGATGTGCCGCAGTATTTTCTGCTTGTTCCCCTCTTCTGCGCGCATGCGCTTCACTTCGTAAGCCACAAGCTGAGAGAAGAAGCGATGGGTGAGAGGAGCAGCTGCCTGCTGGGCAGGATCCGACCCCGTTTCCCATATCCCGGCTCCATCCCCCAGTGCAACACTGCAGCCGGAGCATCACGGCAGATTCCCGGCTCACTCCCTCGAGGGGCAGGGAGAGCTGAGCGGAGCAAGGACGCGTGGGATGGACGGGCAGGGGTTGCTGCTCCCAAACTTCCACTTACCTCATCAAACAGGTCGATGGAGCGGTACGGGGCCCCCCGCTCGGTCACGAAGCCAGCGAAAGCCATGCCCTCCAGCACCTTGGTGAGGAAGTCGTCCTCTGTCAGCCCCCTCTGCCCAAGGAAGGCTGCCTGGAAGAGGGGAGGGTGCGCACCGTCACCAGCGCTGCCCAGGCATCGCCCATCCCGGCTGGCATGGCAGCGCGGGTGACACTGTCACCGCAGCGAAGGACAGGTGCCTGTGCAGCAGCGGGACCAGGCCATCTCCTTCCCCGTCCCACACGGGCGCAGGGACAGGCTTTGCTCAGAAACACGTGCTTACGGCCCACGGCAGCGAGGCGCGTTGGCAGCAGGACATGGCCAGTGGCAAGCGAAGAGCCCCAGCACCAGCCCTGGTGCGCAGCCCCGCAGAGGCAGGGGCACAGCGGCCGCAGGCTCCTTCTGGCAGCTGTGACGAGGACCTCATCCTGAACAATGCTTGGTCACCTCACCTCTTCCCCAAACGGGGCCTTGAAGGAGCCTCTCACCAGCACCGCAAAGGCAGCCTGAAGCACCAGGTTTCCTGTGTCTGCAGAAAGCCCTTAGGACTCTCCCCTCAGCAGATGAGCATGGGACCTCATCCCACCCGAGAACTGCCGGCTACGGCACACCACGCGCCTTCAGGAGCTGTCGGTGGGGAACAGCTTTTGCTCCTCCAAACACACTCGCCCACTCGCTGAGTGGGACAGGACAAGGGTACTACGGCAGAGATCGTTCACCCACAGCCCCGACGACACGGCGGACCTCCAGGCCACGATCCCACCTACTCTCGCTGTCCTCACCGCTCCACGGCGGAGCTGGACCAGGGGAAGGGGCCGAGAGGCGCAGGGCTGGGTGCTGGAGCCACGGGCACTGCCCCAGAATGTGGTCCCGTGGCCCTAAACCCGCTGTGTTAGCAACAGATGTTGCTGCGACAGAAGCAGCAAAGTCAGTGAAACCCAGGCTATTTTGTACTGCGTGCTGGTGCTGCACAGAATGGTTTTATGAAATGGAAGTTCGTTGTACTTTATTCATTTTATAGCAGTTTTAGGGAAGGGCATTTTCTCATGTTTACTGCACGTTTATGATTTTATGGAACTACTGAATCCTTGTCGGGCACCTGTTGGGAATCTTTATCGAGCACAAAAATACAACTCAAAACCCTTATGAACACACCGCCGACTTGCAATGTCAGAGACCAGAGCGCATTTTAAAGTGCAGGGCAGCACGGGCGATGCACGAGCCCAGGCCATGCATGGTGTGTGTCCGCTCCTGGCACGTTTTTGTGGGTAGAAGGTGCTGCCCTGACGGTGGGCTGGGCAGAATGGGAAGATGCGGGCAGGGGAAGGCTCGTGCCTGCCCATCCTCAGCAACCTCGGGCATGCAGTGGGGAAGGCACAGCCACAGCAGGGCTGCAGGCTGCGTGACGTGGCCACGCCAAACTGCAACGCTCCAGTCCCTCTGCTCTCGCTCCCCGTCTGTTGCCTTCTCCTGCGTTAGGTCTCCTCCATCGCTGCCCAAACATTGCAAGCTTTTCCCTGCTCCTCCGGCCCTGCCAGCCTTTCCAGTACAGCTCACACCCCAGCAGCGCTGGGGAAGGCAGACCCTGTCGCCTCCTTCCTCTCCCCAGATCTTAAAAAAAATCCCCAGCCCCAGGCCAGGACGTGAGGGACACCTTCTGTGAGCCTCCAAGGCTGCTTGACACCAGCTGCAGTGAATCTGACCACACATGGGCACAAACAGGTACTGACCCACAGGACCTTGGGACGGTCAAGGTCAAATAAGGGATGCAGGTGGACCCAGGAGTGATGCAGGAGAGGTCACTTGCGAGAAACACAGAACTGTCTTCTAGATACAGCTGCATGTGTGTGTAGGTAGAGCTGTGTGTCACGGGAAGTTCAGGCTAGAAATGAGGAGGCATTTCTTCCCAGAAAGGGTCGCTAGGCATTGGGATGGGCTGCCCAGGGAGGTGGTGGAGTCCCCACCCCTGGAGGGGTTTAAGAAAAGCCTGGACGTGGCACTTAGTGCCATGGTCTGGTTGACATGGTGGTGTTGGGGCAAAGGTTGGACTCGATGATCCCAGAGGTCTCTTCCAACCAAACCGATTTTGTGATTCTGTGTGCAAACCTCTTCACAGATCAACTCATCCCCACCTCCGCCTAACCCACCTGGAAAAGAGTTATTCCATAGGACAGTTTGAAAAAATAATTCTGCCACGAGGACAGGAGGCCGTAGAGCTGACGGTCGCAGAGCACCGCTGAAACACGCTCCCTGCCCTCCCTGCCTGGCCAGGTCCCTTCACATCGCTCCCAGCAGCAGCCGCTTTCCCCTCCGGGAGCTGCCTGCCCCGCCCAGAGCGGAGCCAGGCCGGCAGAGCCGCTGTGCCAGAGGGGTCTGCCAGCCCCTGCACGCGTCTGCCCGTGCCGGTGCCTCACCTTATGGAATCGGATGACCGGTTCAGGATGGATGCGGATGATGTGCAGACACCAGCGATAGCCCTGAAGCAGCTGTGCAAACAAGCGGAGGAAGACGGCACGGATCTCCTTATCCTGCGAAGGGAAGGACAGGGTGGTCACAGCGTGGTCAGGCGGAGGGTGCGGACGAGCCAGCTCATCGGGGCAGGAGTTTACACCCAGCAGAGGCGAGGGGATCAAACCACGTGCCAGGGTCAGCATCTGCTGAGCAGGGCAGGAAACTCGGCAGAGATTCCAGGGGAAAAGGGACACGGCAGGCTGGATTCCCTGTTCCGCCTCCCCGCCACAGCATCCCTGACACTGCACACAGAGGAAAAGGGAGCTCTCGCAGCCTCGGGGTTTGCCAAAGTGCCCAAAGGTTCGGTGTCTGCCTCCAGCCCCTGCTCCAGCATGGCAGTAAACCCAACAGCCCCTGCCCACGGGCCAGCTACTGGAACGGCACCACTGGCTTCAAGGCCATGGCTTGGAGCTGTGGCCTCAGTGTCCTGGCAGCATCGTGCTTTGCCTCAACCTCAGCAACGACAAGATGGAGACAGGCCCGAAATCGCGCCTGTCCACTCCATGCCCAAGAAATGGGGCGTGCAGCTGGGACAGCAGCCTCACAGGAGGGGTCCCCCTTCCTCCCCGCTCCACTCACCTGCATTTTGAGAGAAGAGGCAGAAATCGCTGAAGGGGGGAATGCAAGATCTGCCACCTCCAGCTCCGGGTCCAAGACCTGCACAGACAAGGCACAAAGCCCGCTCAGACCCTGGCCCAGGGGCATCTCTACTTTCACAGCCAGGAAAAGTGAAGCAGCGTTGCCCAGAGACCCAGCAGCACCCACAGAAAGGGTCCGAGGGGCTTGGAAACAAAACCTACAGGGCTGGCACCACCAGGCATCAGAAAACGCTCCATCGTGGAAGGGAAGCCCCAAGGCCTGACCCTTGCCCATGAAGCCCTGCTGCCCAGAGCGTGATCCTGGGGACAGCGCGGGGGGCTGAGGGCAGTGGGGAAGGGGCAGCCTCTCTGGCTCTGCGGGGCAGACGCACACCGCAGGAGGGCCGGGGGCTCAGCACAGCAGGGCTGCGACAGAACCAGCCCCCCCGGCTCGCCCTGCGAGGAGCAAAAGCCGAGGCACGCAGCGTTTGTTTGGCACAGCTGTCCCGGGCACGCTCTCGCATGGCCAGCGTCTCTGGGAACACGCGAGCCGCCAGAAAAGCTTCAGGGCTGCAGCTGCTTCCTGCCCACAGGCTGGGAGCCAGCGCCTGGTTCCCAGAAACCTTTGGCAGAAGAACCCCCCTCCGGCACTGCCACGCACCAGAGGCCATCAGCATCAGGAAAGGTCTCCCGTGACATGGTCAGCGGGACCCCGAGACACAGACCTCTGCTCTCAGACAAGTCCCTGCTGCTCCACTCGAGCTCCCCTTGGAAACGTGTGTGACTCCGGAGGAGCCTGCACCCTGCAGCCGGGGGAAAAGCTGCAGCACTTACCATGGAGAGGGCTTCCCGGGTCTGCTGGAGTAGAGGTTCAGGGAGCAGGGAGATGTGTACACACTCGGGGACATTCACTGTCCCGCCATCCAGGTCTGCGATGACAACGTCCAGCTGGAGGTGGCAGGACAGGCATGAGACAAGGCCAGGCTTTCCGACACCCTCCCCATCACCTCCCGCTGGGCAACGGAGAGCTAGCGAGGGGCTAAGCCTGGCTCAGCTGGGAACGCTGTCTGTCTCCTCTCCATCTTCTGTGAGCACTCTAGCCCTCCGTAGCTCTTCGCTCCCACCCACTGCCACCAAACCCAAGCATTTGCCAATACACAAGCTCTAAGGGGATCCCACCGCTCCCCTGCAAGGAAGGCGGCAGGGGGAGGACAACCCGGCAGGAGAGGGACGCAGCTTTGCTCAGCGGGCACCCGTCGTGACTTTGTGGCATCAGACCCCTCGGCACCTTGGCATCCTGGGCGAGGCGTCTCACACTGAGCCCGGCCCAACACAGAGGCCATCCTGCTTAACCAAAGCGGCACGCTGCAGGTTGTTCAGAAGGCGGCACGAAGGCTTGTTTCAGTTTCGATCAGGCTCATTACGCTTTGATTTAATTCAGTTTCTGAACAGAAGCCTGAAGTGCCAACGCAGCCTCTTGGACCAGCGCTGCCAGCCGACTTCCAAAATCAAATCCTGGGTTAAGCCCAGCCGTTGGTGTGCATGCTCTGCGGCCCAAAGCCCCAACGATGCATGGCCCAGCCAGCCCCGCTTGGCTTGTGCGGCAGCTCTGGATCTTTTTTTTTGCCGGGCTGGAACAGGCAGAGCCGGGGGGAGCCGGCGTGCCCAGCCCGCTGCCGCAGGCACCCTCAGGACAACGTTTGCTGCTATCTGAGACTGCTGGCACACGACCCCTGCTTCTTCCTCAGACCGCTTCTGCTCCCAGCACAAGGGACGGGGTCCACGGCCTCTCACCAGCTCCTGCGTCTCCGACTGGAAGATGGAGTGGACTCCGATAATGAAGGGCGTTGGTGTGCTCAGTACCTCAAGGAGCTGCGCAGGCAGGATGGGCCCGTAGGTGAAAATGCCACCAAAAAAG